CATCCATCCATACATACATACATACGTACATACATACATACATACATACATACATACATTCGTCCGTGTGTACACTCGTACCTGGACCCATCTCTAGGAACATACGTTTGCACCTACGTATGTGAGTGCATACACACATTGCATACATGCATACATCCAGACATCCATCCGTGTGTCCGTGCACGAGTGCCTGCATACATGCATGCATGCATGCATGCACACATACATAAATACACGCATAAACATACATGCATAACATACCTGCATACTTACATACCTGCGCATACATGCGAACAGACAAAGGAACAAACGGACAGACAGAACGACTGAAACGCATCTACTTCTCACACCAATACAAGTACCAATGCAAATAGTAGACATACACATACGCACGGACGATCAAGACAGAACTAGCCAAGCTTTGAAGCCGCCGGCTCACAAACTCAAGGTGTGGCCCAGTGGCTCGAAGCTGAGGGATCGCATCTCAAACCTGCCACCTGCAAGGCTTTTCAAAGCTTCGGCGCATGGACAAGCCATCACGCAGGATCCCTAGAACCCAACACGGGGATTAGATACCGCAAGGCCATCATCGGCTATCATCCCTTAAGTATTCTCAAAAGATCAACGCAACCTGCCGAAAAGATACGATTTGCTCGGCTTGGGGCTGATCGTGGGATTTTTTTCGCAGACTAATCCCGGCAAGAGAATCTCAGGAGATTCAAAACAAGTTAACGGGGTACCACAAACTATATCATGTTTACGCCAGTTTACGCAATTCTATTGGCATGTGTCGCGTCGGGCTTTGGATGCTGCATACCATGTTGCAGTTTACACTTGCTGACTACGGCGGTCTTGCTGATTCTGCCGTCCGACGGCACGACTCCTACACGCAACAACACTTGCACTACCTCCAATGGAAATTCTCTGAGCATAGCCACCTGTTGCAGCAAATTGAAACTTGATGATTCCTGTTCGATTACTTCTCGCAGGCCGAAACCCACTCAGCATCGAACCGGCAAAGACTGAACGAGGCAAACCAGCTTGGCAAAGTCTAGTCCAGCAAATGTTGCTAAGCCCTGAACTGGGCTGAAGGCTAAGGGAGTTCAGCCTCCTGTTCGCGACATGGCCGACTTTGCGTTCTGGCGGTGTGACTGGAAGCTTTCCCGCATGAGGTCATCCTGAGAGATCTGGTTGGGGGCGGGACCTACGGCTTTTCAGCCTTTGCTTGACTGATTCTCGCGAATAATATAAGGAGTGAGCCAGTCTGATCTTATCTTATTGCTTCGTCGTCTTATTCCGACTACCAATTCCAATGCCACGAAGTTGGGGCGACAGTCCGGAGGCCTGCATTCGTGAAGACAATAATTACAGGGGCATGGTAAGACTGTCAGGTTGATTTCGTTCTGTTTTAACCGAGGGTGCCATAGGGACATTATATTGTAATGATGTCAAAGCTTTCAGGTCCACTTTCAACATGCAGCGACGAACCGCCGGCCAGCCATGCCAAGTCTGCGGCCTAAAGCTTGCAAATCCAAGCATCGAAGCACAATCCTGAGAAGAAAAAACAAACAGTCTCGTCCTTGCCTTGCTGCCATGCGGCCCATTGCTTCGGGTGATCCTCGTCTGAATGTCGCGACTTCACCTTTGTTGCAGGACACGGGGAGGAATCATCCGGATCGAGGACTTTTCCTTCACCGCAGGTTGGCCACTACTATCGGCACAATCAAGAGGAATTATGAGGAATTCCGTTAAGAACATGATCTGGATTGAGCCCCGAGGCTGCTTGGGAGTGGGTGCTGCTTTGAGGATTCAAAGAGGGAGCCCTTCCTGGCTGAAGCCTCTTGGGCTGGTGGAGGTTGGGACGTCGTCGCGGACGTCGCAAGCACCGTGCATGCCAGGACGGGACGGGAATCTATCGACGTCATGACATAGTTGTTAATGTCTGACAAGCGGAAAGGCTAGGAGCCGACGGGCTGATACATCGTTCGATATCGTGGAGTGCCTGTCGATGTTATCTTTCGTTGTCATGCAGTGTACTTCGATGTCCGGGAGTCTATTTTTGATGTGCGGGCGTGCAGCCCTCATCTTTGCAACACCAGCACCTTTAAGATGACGGTCACCAGATCATCATCACCATCAGCGCCATTAACTCGTGAATATCAGCAAGCATTCCGCCAAGCATTACAAATTGAGGCTCCAGTTCTTGGCATCATGATGATGAATATTGTTAGTACTTAGGATTGTTATCATTATTTGGACTATTAATCAATTACAACCCTTATGCTGCTATCAGTACCATAGAATTATATTATCATGGTGTACTTCGCCAAAAATATCCACGTGGAAAGCAATTGCAGGCCGAAAGTCGGAGGACCGCGCCCCGCCCTTCCTCGGGTTTTCCACCTCCTCGCCGGGGCCCAATTTTTGTAGGGTTAGGGCACTTCGGGTTTGAGGGTTTTTAAGGTTTAGAATTTAGAGTCTATAGGGTTTAGGGTTTGTAAGGTTTAAGGTTTTAGGGCTCCCGGTCTCGGGTTCGGGTCTCGGGTGAAAGACGAAGGGCGCGGGGGCACGGCGGAGGCGACCGGTTTGGGGTAATTGATATCAGTTTCTCAGAGTTGCTGATTTATGTTATATGTACATGGTATCATAATATATTACGTCATAATATAAGGTTACACTATACTATGCTATACTATACTATACTATACTATACTATACTATACTGACGACTATATACTATATTACACTATGTTATATGTTCGACTTCTAGAGGCTTTCGAGGTTCAAGGCTTGGGGATCCTGAAGCTTCGCTGGCCCAGGGCTCAAGATGACTTGGGGCGCCGGGGCCTGCAGCTTTTCGGCTCCATTTTGACAGGCTCGGATTGGTAGTGCAGTATAGTATAGTATAGTATATAGTATAGTACAGTATAGTATATAGTATCGTGTAATTTTGATCGGCTCGGGGTTTAGGGTTCAGGGTTTAGGGGTCGGATTGGCTTAAAACAAGCTTCGGATTGTTTTAAAACAAAGGATTGTTGTTTTAAAACAGTCTGTCGTAGTACGCTGGAGCTGAGAGCAAAGCTGAAGATGCCGATGATGGTTCTTCTTTCTGCTGTGCTGGTCTTCTTCTTACAGCCATGTGTGCTGGCCTTTGCCCCAGAGGCCATCAGAACACACATCCTCTCTGCAAAGACCCAAAGCCTAATGTTGGGGCCTCAGTAATTAGAATAAGGTCTTGGGGCCCATTATACTATACTTTCTAACTCTGGAATAAGGAACCCGCAACTAATATAGGTAATTATTTAGGCCCCTGAATTAAAGGACCCTGAGCTCCGCCTCCGCAACCTCCCACATCTTGCTGGTCTCCGAAGTGGGGCTGAGGCCGGGATCCTGAAGGGTTTCGGGTTCAGGGGCTTAGGGTTTATGCTTTGGGGCTGCAGCAGCTTGCAGATTCAACTGCGGATTTGGGTGCTTCATAACACATGGGTCAGGTTTGTGAGCATGGAAATGCACGAGATATGTAGAGGAAATTCAGGAGAATTCGCCGGACGAGTAGACCAGCCGACAGAACTCAATCGACTGATTTGTTGTTAGCATAGTGGTATATAATGGTGAAGTAGTGCTGATGCCACTCCACTGTCATGGCTACCTTAGGCAACTTTCGCACTAGACTTCAGCGGGCCTTACAATGGTCGCAGCACTTTTTGCCTTGATTGCAAGATCAGCTGCTGTTGCATTCGCGCGCTGCGATTGCGCTACCCGCTACTATCGCTCCTTCTGCAAACATTGCTGCCCATACTCTATCCTAAGCACACCTGGTGTTGAGAACAATGCCAAAGCGGCGGCTACTTCGATGACAAAGTCTGTTGCATCGCATTCCTTTTCGTGCATTCCTGATTATAGTAGAGTATAATATCATATGATCTATACTATAATATACTATAATATATAACATATAGTATAACTGCCGACTATCTGACAACAAGGCGCTGCAGGTGGTGCATACGCGGGAGATGGTGCCGACGGCTTCTCAGAGAGGCTGTCCGTCTCCTTTTCCCAGGCTAAGCCCTCGACATGGTGAAGGATTCAGGGTGTCGGGTTTGGTTTTCTCTGTGCTTCTGCAGGACAAGTGCCTCTGGGGCCGATGATCACACGAGTTCCGCTTGTAGGCTGAAGGACAAACTTGACTGTGGCATGGCCTTATGATCGAGCTAGAAGGCCCTTCGAATCATGCTCACCACTGCCGTTCTTCAAACAACGGTTTGGGGAACCAAATCTTGGTTTCTCGGATGGCCGAGCTGGCGACAAATGGGGCTGCCAGGTTACTAGTCTTACTAGTCGTCATCTGAAAATTCGCAATGACTACCGCATTAACAAGAACTTCACGCGCCAAAAGAAACCGAACCGAGGCTAGGGCCAGAGACATGGGGATGCGAAAACTCCAGACACTGTGGGTCTTTCGCCAAGGTACACGACCCCTATAGGACTTGTGCACGAAGGAAGTGCTCGTCGTTGCGATTTTATTTTGCGCATGCTGCATGGATGGAGGCGGGGTGGCCAAGCGCCGGTCGCAAGCAACAAGCGGCGAAAAGCAACGGGTTGCAGCATGCAGGCATCAAGCCTTTGCTCGGATGCGAGTCATGAGCATCTCCAAATGCTTGCAACTCGGTCTGTTCGCGGGATTTCATTGCTTTGCACCTCAGACTGAGACATCGAGGTAAGCAAGAGTCACATTTTTGCAGGAGCGCCGCTAGACTTTGTTCAGGCAAACGGCAAAGACCCATGTCGCAGAATCTGACCTCGAGCATCCAGGAGACCGTACCCCGAGGCATCCTTACGACACTCGTGCCCCGTGTGTCCTGATGATCTTGAACCCTTCAGAATCGTAGGCTAAACAGCTCAACACCCGCCTAAACTGCCAAAACTTATTAAACTTCATCCCACAACCCCCGAGCTCAAATCTTGAGACCGTAATCAAGCCCTGAATTGCATCATTTTGTTGAAGCCCGGTGTCCGAGTTCAGGAGCTGTGGTCGAGGCCTTGGGGCTGCTCCCGGCTTCTCCACCTGCGGACTCGCCTGTGGTCCCATCCGAGGGCTGCTCCTCGGCGTCAGACGTCTCGCTAGCAGAAGCCGCAGCAAGAGGAGGGGGAGGTCCAGGAGGATGAAGGAACAGCGATGAACAAACCAATCTTGTAGTATGAGGCCAAAGCAGTACCAGCACATCAGCCTGTCTTGGACCAGGGCACGCCGGTTGACTCCAAGCCACTTTCGCCGCCATCTGCAGTCCTAGCTGATTCGGCACTTAGACTTTTCACTTGCAGAAACGTATGACTATGTGGATATAGACATCATACTGATTGATCGAGTATTGTGGACAGTGTCGAGTACTCTGTGTGAGGGGCTTGCTCAATTGTCCATAAGTACAATGGTGAGGTTAGATAGGCCCATACCTCTCCCATGACAATGACAGGCTGGCAAAGTCTCCGAGGGCGAAGACAAGCCGATTCTAGTCTTCGACGTGAGCTATCTGAGAGACTGAAGACAGCGAAAGACATCACGAGAAAGGCAGTCAAGCCAAGCGACGGCCTTGTTTACACATGTTGCCGGTTTTGCACAGTAATTGGTGCATCTATATGTGCAACGCGGAAACGTAATCTGATTCGCACAACGGCTACAGTTGCGGTGCATGTGGCTCAGAGAGGATGGCATGGCCTGCTGCTACTCTGTGCAAAAAAAATTCCGCAGCGATAGCATCCGGTTTCTTGCAAGTCTTGTATCTCTGGGATGATGCCAGATACTGAGGCCAAGCAGTTTCCACGCCATATCAACACGCAAAGAGCGAGTTGCAACCCAGTGGTAGAAGCAGCTTGCGGTCTTGGGGCATCGCAAGGGCTCGGGCCAGGAGCCCATCTATCTATCTGTCTGTCTATCGATCATCTATATACATATATATATATATACATATTATGCGTGAGGGTTTGGTATTGATGATATGTTGTAGATGCTCACCTCACCGAGCGTGTTGTTGATATAGTTGTGGTATTGCCAATGCAGAACTCACACGCGCAATTGTACACAATGTAGAGCGGCGCACCCTTCCTTTTCTCACTCGCCTTGGCTGACGTTGAGTCTTTGCAG